CAATGAATCTCTCTTCTGGAGGTCGGCTTCAGCCTTTTGTCCTGCTATTAATCTCGAGCCGGGTGAAAAGGTCCGGATTCATATCTTTCCAAGGATATCTGTGCAAAAGCGAATACAGCGGCCGCTTGTGTAATTTGAACTCGTCACGCTAATCCCATTTCCGTGTCTACAGCCATTAAATTCAGCGCAAAAATGGCAAAAATGTGCAACAATGCTAGTACAATACATAATCATAGAAAAGGGCTACGCTGAGGGTACATGAAATGAGAAACGAAATGTCTCATCATTGCTGATTGATAGAAACTGAAACAGAACTAATAAAAACTACAAATATTTGATTAAAAGAAACAGAGCAACTTCATGAAAAAGGATTAGGGGCAATTACAAACAAAATGGCGTGTATATTGTTAATAAGAGGAAGTTTAGAAAGAAAAATAGATCGCTAACAATTGCCGTTCAGAATAAATTGTTAAGAATGAAACAAGTCAAGGCCAAAATAAAATTTCGAATTTTCAAGTTCTAGTATGAAATACGCAAAATGTAGTTTTTGTTTACGCTTTTTTTATTTCGCTTTTCACTTTTATGTCATCAGAATAAGTTTTCGTTTTAAGTAAACAATGAACGGTTGATAACCTGTAAAAAACAAATCAATCCATCAACAATTGATTTTGAATCATTGTACTGATCAAAATTATACCTTCCAAGATTTTTTTGAAAATTAATCTGAAAAACAAAAATTGTACACTTAAACAGGGTCTATTTTTGTTTAGGGTTAGGGGTATTTTAGAGCCGAAATCTAAATATTTTGTGCGCACTTGCATGCCTTCAACTACAGATTTTGTTATAAATATGTATTGCTGGACTTTTCCTTTTAAAAATATATTTTTATACTTCCAGTGTTTCGGGGTTCACTACTTGCTCAGAGCTGGGACCCTAACTGGAGCTACCACTCCGTATATGTAAATAAATGTAATATTCAGTTGGATATTTCGCATAGATAGGGTAGATTAACAGGTCATTAAGCTATGTCTTATTTATATATATATATATATATATATATATATATATATATATTAAGGCATTTTATGTTTATACATTCTTTTTTATAGATACAAATATTTAAGTAAATGCTCTGTTTATAATAAACAGTATTAACGACATTTACCGGAGTGAATGCCCGAGAAATTTTCATAGAAAATAGGCCTCCGTGTAGGATTCGATTCCTGTTGGAGAACACATATTGTCTATGGAAGTTTCTTGGACGTCAGGCTATATGACAGTTCCGTGTATGATACAGGTTCGATTCTTGTCGGAGGACGCATTTTTTCTATGATAATTTCTCGGACATTCAAATCTGTAAATGTTGTTAATACTGTTTATTATAAATAGAGCATTTACTTAAATATTTGTATCCATAAAAAAGTAAACACATACACACACGCACACTCAGACACACAGACGCACACACACACACACACACACACACACACACACACACACACACACATATATATATATATATATATATATATATATATATATATATGTATGTATATAAAAAGAAATACAGTATAAGAAATAAGACCAAAGCCTCTTGAATTACCCTTGATAATGCCCAATAGAATGGCCGAAACCGTTCGGATATATAAAAGATTTGGACAGTCTTTACAAAGTAAACATTTACCGAATATGTCGGCGCACAAGGCGACTTTTTAACCTTACCGCTGCTCCCACAAGCCGTCTTGTACTCCAGGAATAAAATGTGAACCTTAAATCCCGTGGTTTAGTGAAAGTTTTTAGCATGGTAGTAAAGATCACATTCGAAAACATTAGAAAGAGTTGATGGATAGCGGGAAAACGTCGTTCAGGCTACCGTAATAGACAATCGAAAATAAAGCAACTCATTTATAAAGTATGGTAGATCGTAGTAGTCAATTAACAATATCTCCCCACTATTTTAAAGATAACATTCGAGAACATTAGAAAGAGTGGATGGATAGCGGGAAAACGTCGTTCAGGCTACCGTAATAGACAATCGAAAACAAAGCACTCATTTATGAGGTATTGTAGATTGTAGTAGTCAATTAACAATATTTCCCCACCATTTTTTTTTAGTAGAATTTAAGTGAAAAGAAAGTATATGCTTACTGAATATATTTAATAAATTTAATAGAATATATTTCAAAATAGGATTTTATGAGGTTATTCCGTACGGCGAATTTCGCCCGAAAAAAAATAATAACTTGGAAATGTGGAGGTAGTCGCCAGCATATACGGTATACGAATGAATATAAGAGCGAATGAAAGAGTAATTATTTCCCGCTGAGAAATTTAACTGGAGCAGAATCTTCTAGAAAAAAAAAAAAAAAAAAAATCTAAGAATGTTAAATTTAAAATTCTTCGATTTTATTGGAGAAAAAGCTCTTTCTTCAACGTGTGTGGCAGTTTATTTTATAAGATTTTTTAAAATAAGAAGTTAAAATACTGAAATACATTTTAGTTAACTGTGAAATTTAGCTGGAGCGGAATCTTCTCGAAAAAATTCTAAGAATGTTAAATTTAAAATTCTTCGAAATTATTGGAGAAAATGCTCTTTCTTGAAACGTGCATGGCAGTTTATTTTATAGGATTTTTTTTAAAATGAGAAGTTAAAAAACTGAAATAGATTTTAGTTAACTGTGATGTTTGCGTCAGTGATGTACTATTAATTTTAATGACGTATTGGAACTCTGCATTATATTCGTAGAAGACGGATGTTTAGAGAACTACAAGCACATATACAGCCAGTCAAATGGAAAAAAAATAAGTAGAAGAGAAATAGCAAATGCGTATGTATACATTGCTATTTTTAAGTGCGTAGCAACGTAATAGCTACAAGGTTGTGAAACTCGGAACTCTATTGGGGAAATTGCCTGATCTCCGTCTTAATATATTTTCCTTTCTCCATTATCGGAAATCACCGTTCATTTGACAAAGGCTGATTCAGAATGAAAGACCAGGGTGGAGCGAGGCCATTTCACTTGTGAAGGCGATGATCAAAATTGGGCGAGGCAGTGTTGTATCATTCGGATAATCATGTCAGCATAGGGAGCCTAGTCAATATCACTCAGGCGTACGGAATTACACCAAGTGTTCATGATGGGCTCGGGGACAGAGAAACTCCCAAAATGGTGATTGGTTTTTGATATCAGAAATGCTATGAATAAAGAAAGACTGGAATTAAGCTCGATATACCAGCAGCCGTACCTTGCTGAAAACAAAGAGCCAAGATGAAGGATATATATATATATATATATATATATATATATATACGGATGGAGTGCCAAATGGTTTACAGCGCTACCTACTTAACAAAATCAGTATTCAATGACCGAAGCAGAATTCATGTTTTAGGAAGTGTGTCGAGACATTAGTATCACTACCTAGAGTGTAAATGTATGCGCCGTGGAATAGTGGATAGAGATGAGCCTAGTTCGAATTCAGTCATGGTCTTTACATTCATTAAGGGACAAATATAGCATGTATTTCCCTCTTATGTTTATATATATATATATATATATATATATATATATATATATATATATATATATATATATATATATATATAAATTAATTGATTTAAAATATGTTTTTTTTTCCGCTACACAGTTCTAACCATTCGCTTGAGGAGGAAATGGAACTAATGACTTTAATTTAATTAAAAATTAAATTCGGAGCTTTTAGCTTCCATTTTTGAAACATGGTTAGAACTGTGTGTAAAAAAAAAACATATTTTAAATCAATTAATTTATAATATTAATGCTCTGTAAATTTACATTGAGCACTATTTTTTAAAAAAATAAAAATATCTATAAGAAAACCGGATTATATATCTTACTGTTCTTTTCTTTATATATATATATATATATATATATATATATTATCTCTCTTGTGTTCATAGCTATTCATAGCTATGAATACAATAAATAAATAGATAGATTGAGAGATAGATAGATAGATAGATAGATTGATAGATAATCAAGCAAGACACAGAGTAACAGATATATACGTATGAACACAAGAGAAAATATATATATATATATATATATATATATATATATATATAGAGAGAGAGAGAGAGAGAGAGAGTAACAGATACATAGCTATGAATACAAGAGAAATAGATAGATAGATAGATAGATAGATAGATAGATAGATAATCAAGCAAGACACAGAGTAACAGATATCTGCTACTCTGTGTCTTGCTTATCTATCTATGTTCATCTATCCCTGTCTGTAACTACAGATGAATATTATATATATATATATATATATATATATATATATATATGTGTGTGTGTGTGTGTGTGTGTGTAAAAGTAATTCTGTGCACCGAAACTTTTTCTGATATATCCTTTCCTAAAAGATACAACCCATCCCCAAGACAAAATAACTGAATATAATAACTTAAAAAATTTAAAGGCAATTAAAAAAAATAAAGAAAAATTGTCTTGCTTGATTATCTATCTATGTTTGTCTATCTCTGTCTGTAAGTATATATATATATATATATATATATATATATATATATGTCTGTAAAAGTAATTCCGAAACTTTTTCTGGTATGTCCTTTTCTAAAAGATACACCTTATTCCCAAGACAAAATAAATGAACATAATAATTTCTAGAAATTTAAGGGAAAACAAATAAATGAAAAATTTATCCAATTAAAATAAAATAAATGATAACAATTTTAATTAAAAGCAAAAAGAAAAATTAAATAAATGTTTCAAGAAAAAATTGAACAACAACCACATTTCCTCACTGTCATCGATTAGATATTAAACCATAGTTTACCTTGGCTTTCCCACTTAACCTAACAGTATATTTTTTTTTAATTCCGTTTATAAATTTCTCTTGTAAAATAAAATCCTTACATTTGATTTTCAGAGGAGAGATTGATAAATTCCATCGGAGGATGAAACGCATCATTTTTTGTTCATACGTTCTTTTTATCCGTAATGTTTTTATTTATATATGAATTTCTTCATCTATCTATCTATCTATCTATCTATCTATCTATCTATCTATCTGTTCATATTTATCTATCTGTTCATATTTATCTATATCAAATTGTTCGTACCTATGTATGTATGTATCTAACAGGCCGTCTCAGTCAGTTCATTATCTATCTACCTATTTATCTAGCTCAATCTGTTCATATCTATCTATCTGTTCATATTTATCAATCTCAAATTATTCGTATCTATCTATCTATCTATCTATCTATCTATCTATCTATCTATCTATCTATCTATCTGTCTGTCTGTCGGTTCATATTTATCTCTATTAAATTGTTCGTACCTCTCAGTCAGTTCATTATCTATCTATCTATCTATCTATCTATCTATCTATCTATCTATCTATCTCAATCTTTTCATATCTACCTATCTGATTATATTTATCAATCTCAAATTGTTCGTGTCTATCTGTTCATATTTATCTATATCAAATTGTTCGTACCTATGTATGTATGTATCAAACAGTAAGTTCATTATGTAACTATTTATCTAGCTCAATCTGTTTATATCTATCTATCTGTTCATATTTATCAATCTCAAATTGTTCGTATCTATCTATCTATCTATCTATCTGTCTCGGTTTGTTCATATCTATCTATCTATCTATCTATCTATCTGTTCATATTTATCTATACCAAATTTGTTCGTACCTATGTATTTATGTATGTATCTATCGATCTCAGTCTGTTCATTATCTATCTAGCTCAATCTGTTCATATCTATCTATCTATCTATCTATCTATCTATCTATCTATCTATCTATCTATCTATCTATCTATCTAATTTTGTGCCTTTCCCAAGAGAAGTGTCCTAGTTTTATTTCATTTCCGAATCCCTTCATCTTTAGAATTAACTCCCGAGAATATTCGGTGATAGACTTTGAAGAAATACATTTGCAAATGATAAAAACCTCAGATATTCTTTATTTCACGCCAGTGGAGCGCCATTATTGTAAATGCCTTTATCTCCACAAGTAAATCTTTAAGCTTTCAGTCTTTATTTATTAGCTCATATGGATACAAACATTTTCTGTCGGTTGGCGGTCGTCGAACACCGGTTCTCTTCCAACTGTTGCAACTTAGCGCCATCTTTGAAATTCTTCTTCTATATACCGTGTCCCTTGGGAACATAGGCGTTCATGGCTCTCCACAGTTAATACATTTTGTCTTTTTACTATCACTCTCAAAATCTGATTCGCCCACCATTGTTGGCTAGGTTATGCGTTGTTTTTCTCTGTCCCTCTTGCAGATTTTTCCATTAGCCCTAGAAATTTCAACGGTCTCTTTTTTGATGTTAAGTACCCTTTTTGCTTCCTTTTTTTCTCTAAAAAGAGCCTTTCAACGGTCTCTTTTTTGTAATGCCATTAAGTACGTCCTTTTTTTTGTCCTTTTTCTTTGCTAAAACAGAGTCCTTTGCACAAGATCCCTAGGTTTTATTCGATGTTGTTCTTCTTCTTCTTTCATATGTGCCCTAGAAATTTCAACGGTTCTTTTTTTGATGGAAAGCACAGGTTGTTGTTGTTGTTCTTCTATATGCCATGAATTTTCAGGAGGTTAGCGATCATGGCTCACCACTATTTCCTGTCCTTTGTAGCTGTTAGTAAATTTGCTCTTTTTGCTATCTCTCATAAATCTTTCTCTGCCGTCCATTTGCACAAGATCCCTAGGTAGTTTATTCGATATCTTACCCCTTCTTATCTTCTTGTCATGTGCGTATCAGATTTTCAATCTTTCCTCATTATGTCCTAGAAATTTCAACGGTCTCTTTTGATGTTAAATATGTCCTTTTTGCTTTCTTTTCTCTAGATTTTCAGGAGGTTAGCGATCATGGCTCAACTATTCCTGCCTTTGTAGCCTATCTTCCTTTCATTTGCATCCCTAGGTAGTTTATTCCTTACCCTAGTCAAATTTTCAACCCTCTTTCCTCATTATGTTAGAAATTTCAACGGTCTCTTTTGATGTTAAATATGTCCTTTTTGCTTTCTTTTTCTCTAAAGCCTTGTTGTTGTTGTTCTTCTATATGCCATTGTTTTCAGGAGGTTCTCATGGCTCACCACTCTTTGTATATAAATTTGCTCCATGAATTTTCTGCCGTCCATTTGAGGTTTATTCGATATCTTACCCTGTCCTTCTTATCTTCAATCTGTCATGGCTATCAGATTTTCCCCTCTTTCCTCATTATGTGCCCTGTCTCTTTTTGATGTTAAATATGTCCTTTTGTTAGGAGGTTAATTTGGCTCTTTTGTCCTTTGCTATCTCTTTTTTGCTATCTCTCATAAATCTTTCTCTGCCGTCCATTTGCACAAGATCCCTAGGTAGTTTATTCGATATCTTACCCTGTCCTTCTTATCTTCAATCTGTCATGTGCGTATCAGATTTTCCAAGCCCTCTTTCCTCATTATGTGCCCTAGAAATTTCAACGGTCTCTTTTTGATGTTAAATATGTCCCTTTTGCTTCCTTTTTCTCTAAAGCACAGCCTTGTTGCTGTTGTTCTTCTGCATACAATGAGGTTGCAAAAGGAAATCTCCGCCAACAGAGGACCAGATTGCAATCAAAAGCGCCAAGGCTGCAGCAAGGAAAAGAAAGACCCGCCTTGCAAATGAAAAACCAGATCTAACGGCAGCCACTAGAGTTTTCAATGCTGAGAATATGCAACTTAGGGATACTGAAACTTTTGAACAAGCTGAATGTCCAATCAAGTGTTTTCCCCAGAAACTAGCGTAATTCTTCGCCTGATAGGGCGTCTTATAAGCTAGTGAATATATATATTTCAACTGTCTCTTGCTTATGTTAAGTGTTTACTTTAAAAAACCTCGTTGCCGCTCAAATGTTCAGTCCATGATATTCCCAGTATCCTTCTTTAGAACCACATTTCTGTTGCTTCAAGTCTCTTCTTCATCTGTGTGGAGATTGTCCAATATTCAATGCGCTATAGGAGGAAGGATTATAGCAGTTTAACCTTTGTTAAATACTTGTCCCTTTCAATGTTCTTTGATGATCTGAGATGAAGAAGGTTCCTTATTCAACTTAACGATTTTCGGCTACGTTTTTTTTTAATTCAATGTCTCTGGTCAATTATTTCTAAAACCTACTGGTTTATTTTAATTTTCTGTCAAATATTTCGTTGCAGTCTGTAATTTTCCGGGCCTAGGCAATTGCTTAGCTTAGCTTAATGGTTAGCAATTGGAAACGTGAAAATGGCGAATTTTGATTCAATATAATAGCGCCCGAATTAAGAATAAATCAAGATAATATATATATATATATATATATATATATATATAATATATATATATAATTCACTGAATTGATAGTAATTTAATGTCTCATGAAGTCCCGTTAGTGAAGTGATTTCACCATTAATCACATTAGCATTGCCATTTATTTATTTTTTTAAATTTTTTGTACATATTGTTTCTTCTGCATGCTCTAATATATTTACGACATCAGATGCGCAGTACAGTAATAATTAGAATCTTAAATTCTGTGAAAAAAACTAAGACATTTTACTCTACTAATTGGCATATATATATATATATATATATATATATATATATATATATATATATATATATATATATATATATATATATATATATATATATGTAATATATATAGTATGTATTGAAGTCCATTTCACTTTAACAGATAAATACTTGATCGATTTAAACAAGAACTCTAGCATGGCGATATCGCACGCTCCAAAACATATATTCAACTGTTAAGAAATAGCATAATTAAAAAAAAACATCTTTTAGTCTACACATATTTCGCCCTGAAGATGACAATTTGAAATTGTCGAAAGTACTCGGCATGTGTCTATAAAGATCTTATTATTCAAGGAATTTATAGTAAGTTCTCATTAAGTCCTGTTAGCAAAGTAATTTCGCCATTAATCACAATAACATTGGTATTTAATTTTTTGTATAAGTTATGATATCATAATATATAAGCTGCATATATATATATATATATATATATATATATATTTAAAGTGAACATTAAAGTCAACACTTAAAAACTATGTTTCTCATATATATATATATATATATATATATATATATATATATATATATATATATATATATATATATAAATCAAATAAAATATATATGAGCACCATACAGGCAGGCAATTACTTTCATATACCGAACTGCAAATAAATATTTATTTTTTGTGTAATGAAAACAGTGCTCAATGTAGTGTAACAAAACTATAATGCATATGTTAATACCTATACATAATACCTACATCACTTGTACGACTCAGGATTTCGTGTGTGTGTAAAATCGTCAGGTATTAATAGATGTGAAATTTTCAATGCGGTTGTTTTGAAAACTTGGGTCTCATGGGAACAATGTTATATTGCATATTGATTCGACGTTTAAAATAATTATAATTCTAATTTAATATCGGGCTATAAATGCCAAAAAAAAAAAAACTCGTGTGTGGGCAAGAACTCGTCTGAGTCCATCATTCTAATCTACGAATCTACCATTCGTCCCTCGATTGAATACTGTTGCCATATATAGACTGGTGCCCCCACTGTTCATCTCGGGGTTCTCGACAAAATCTAAAGACGGATATGCAATGTGATAGGTTCTGACCTGGCATCTCGACTGCAGTCACTTTCTTAAAGACCTGATGTGTCTTCCCTCTGTCTTTTCGAAAAAAAAATAATTTCATGGCTAGTGCTCTGACTAGCTACTTTCCCTCGTACCCCAACTGCATGAATTTAAGCGTGCTACTAGGTTGGTATCTCGGTCCGAACCTTTTACTGTCGAAACAGTTAAATGCAACCCCTCTTCTACTCCAACAGCTTATTCTCTTTCCTACATTGGAACACACTTCCTCTTACTAGCTTCTCTGATAGATATAATCTTCAAATATTCAAATGTAATGTCAATCGACATCTTCTGATGCTTTGGTTCTGATCCCCCTCCTTCTCTTCATCCTTTCCTCAAACACCCCCCCTCTTTACTCTTACTTTCACCCTCTGTAAACCCTTTCCTGCTAGTGGCACTTCCTTGCTTAGGGTAAAAAATTAGGTAAAATAAAATAAAATAGAACAAAAATAAAAGTAGCTTCCCTGTACCTTTTTCAATAATAAGTTGTTATCATGAGAGTTCCTTATCTTTGTGACCCCTATATATTTTTTGTTACCTCGAATTTATGAACGGCCCCAATTCTTCAGACACTAATAACATAAATTATTACCTCATATAGTTTTAGTATTTGTTGCTTTTATAAGAATAATTATTGCACTGTTTCTAACATAGAACTCTCTCTATATACAGGAGCATCCACTATAACTTTTCATATATATATATATATATATATATATATATATATATATATATATATATATACAGTAACCCGGATATAAGAGACCCGGATATAAGAGAAAGCCGGATATAAGAGAGATTTTCTCTGGTCCCAAATTAGAGCCCATACTTACCTAAACAAAATAGACAAAATCCGGATATAAGAGAAACCCGGATATAAGAGACTTCTTCTCCGGTCCCGACAACTCTCTTATATCCGGGTTACACTAATATATATATATATATATATATATATATATATATATATATGTGTGTGTGTGTGTGTGTGTGTGTGTGTGTATGTCAAATCGAAATAAATCTTATGAAATTAGGTATTTCAATAAAGAAAAAAATCCGACGTGAAAGTTAGCTACAAAAGACCGTTAAATGTAAACGCGTCGTTATATATTCTCTCGCGACATGACGATTGGCGTTCAGTCATGAAACAGCCTGTCGCCT